ACTTCATGACAAAGAGTATAAAAGATTATCAAATGCAAATACATATGTATTATATACAAGTTATACAGGGTTATGATAGATTAATGCACAAAATTTATAAAAAGCGCAGTATTTGTTAAAAAAAAATGCAAAAACATGTCAAGCTTTTAATTTTATTCTCCATCTTTTCGCATATGTCAAAAAATTTTACGTCAAATGACATAATATCCTAACACTAATTATTCTCGTAAATGAAATCTCTCATTTAAAAAAATCATTGATGACGTCATGATTTTTGTCAAAAGATGGAGAGTAAAATGAAAAGCTTGATATGTTTTTGCATTTTTTTCAAAAACAAATGCTGCGCTTTTTATAAATTTTGTGCATTACTTTATCATAACCCTGTATATTAATATTTCAGAATCATATCAAAAAACAACCATGGAAAAAGCAAATCGAAATCCAACTTTGAAGCCAACTTCAATATGGTTCATTACTTCATTAGATAATGTAATAATATTCGATAGAAGTACTTTAGGTGTTGTTTATTTTCATTGACTAGAATTTTCGTAATTCTTAATTGTTCCGAAGTTTTCCCACTTACCTAGTTCGTTTTTACTAACATTTTTTTGTGATAATTCCTGAGCGTAATCGGTCGACTCTCTACTTTTACGTTTTCTTGACGCTTCATGACCCCTAAACTACGAAGAAATTGGTCTCCCGTTTCCGTCTGTTTGTGTGTCCGTCTGTCCGTCTGTTTGTCGTCCTGGATTTTTATTAAACAGATAATCTCCGAAAGTACTCGATTGTTCACAAATTTTGTATTTATATTAGAAATATCATGTAAATTGTAAAACGCGAACCAAAATTTATCAATAATGTGATGACGTCACTTCAAAATTGCACATAGTAAATGGGTTTTAAATTGTATGAAATAACATAGACCCACACATGTAGTTTATGACTCCGTATTGAGTTTTACCCGAAACGTCCAGATTTTTGAAAAAAAAAGTCAAAATAATAAAACAACATTTTGCAATTTAATTTTGATTCTGCAAAATCGAATGCAGATGTTTTAAAGTTACGATGAACTTGATAAATCTTTAAAAAAAACTGCATTTACTTATACACACAATAAATTGATGACTTCATCTGAAAATTCTACCCAAAATGTGCAAAATATGATGTGACTACTTTCCTTTTGTGCTGTGCCTAGTATTATCCATGTTGATGAAGTCGTCACAAATTTTTTATTGGTCAAATTAAGAACGAGTCACCCTATTTTCTCGAAAATGTGAAGAATACGCACGTCTGTATATAATAATGATAAAATAAGAATTACAATATTCAGAACATTTTGTTCGATTGCGGTTGAGTTAATAATTTTAATCCTGTGTTTTGAGAAGACAAACTTATTCAAATCAAACTAATTTCTACGTGACATTCTTTCGATGTATAAACATCAATAAACACTTGAACGTCAGATTGCTATTACCTAGTGTTAAAGGACAAGGGTTGTTAGAGATGGATTATTTTAAGTTCAACATGGTGAGTCATCAGAATCTGATAACGGACTGTCAGTCAGTAGCGTAACATGCACACTTCAGAAGGGGTTTGTTTTTTAAATTTATTTTTTTAAATCGCAAACAATAACACGCGGAAATTAAATTTAAGTGAACCATACGAAAATGGTATGTTTCATTCTACTTCAGGAGCGAGGGAAGTTCTGTCGAAACAACTCTCGACCAATTTTTTTGATGTTATGACTATATTTTTTTTATAATTATATTGTGACTTTTGAGCAAATTACGAGCACAACAATTATTTGTCTAAATAATAGAATATTGGGAATTTTTAACAGAATGGTTTTTGGAATGGCATCTACTTAATGGAATTTTTGGATTATTATCCCCGGAATTTTAGCATTAATTTTACACTTATTGGAATGCACCGGGATTATTGGAATTTACTCTAATTAGTTGAAATTATTTGGGAAATATTTAAAATTAGCTTTATATTAGACGCGTGCTTTTACACAATGCATTTGAACTCAGGATAGTGTATTACATTATGAAATAATTTAAGACTCACCAACAGCGTAATTTTCGTGGTAAAAAAAATAAATGTTCATCTTAGATAGAATAAAAAGTATTCTTTAAGCCTCTCGCTTTTTAATCTTTCTATAGATGTAACATGTAAGCTTCACAACAGAAAAACCACAGTAGATTACAAATCCCTAATTCGGATTTAATAAAAGGACTGAATAACAGTTCCTTCGAAATAACGTTTTATAAATCTTTTGATAAATCCGCTAAAGCTTTGGAACCTATATTTTCTAAAAATGTGTTTTATTTGTTTGTCAACGAAGATGATACTTATGTCAATTATGTGTTGTGTACGGGATAGGATTTAATTCTGACGTTTTCTCAGAGAAAAAGTAAGAAATTTACATTTAGTCAAATTGAATTCTGTGTTCACTTCACAATTATCAAAAATTTTACGGATCATTTTAATCATGAAATCGGAAACAAAAATCCATAACAGGAAAAGAAACAAAATTCATATCTGTCGCTTGAAAAACATATTGATAAGAGGGTATTAAGCTTCTGAATTTATTCTAAATCTGTTGTTTAAATATTGACCCTACTAGTGTACAGATACGAGGATGAAGTACATTGCACTGTAATTTGCGATAACAACTTATCAACAAATTTGCACCTAAATGTTGCTGGAACCATACACGTTTACATAAATAAACTGAAAATATCGGAGCTGATGCGATTTCTGTAATAACTTCATCAGTACCAATTTCAATCTGACACAGTCAGCTTTTAAAAAAGTTACAGTTAATGGTGCAATTCCAGGCGTCATGTTCTTTGTAAATCGTTTATCTGCAGACATTTTCCCAGAAATGGAAGTCTTTGAAACGCTCGAATACAAATAATAATTACAGCAGCACTTCGGTTTTAAAGCTACGAAGACCCAGGCAGATGGAATGATGTTTCTTCGGGTATTAATTTTAAGAACATTATTTTTATCTTGGATCCCCTTTTGCCTTTTTACGACTCATTTTCCTCATTTACAGGCGACCTAACGCCCAAAAAGCCATCGCACTATCTGAATACTACCCCTGTGTAGTTAAAATCTCGGACGAGTGCTTTGAACCATAAATTGCATAGCTTTTTAGTTAAAAACTACTATTCTCGTAAATTTAGGACGGTGGCAACTTATTGTTACGAAGTTTCCAGTTTTATTAAAAGTTGGTTAATGGACTACTCGTGTGTGACGACCTATGTTGGCTAGAATAAAGGTGGCTTTATTAAAAGCTCAACTTTGTTGGAGTACTTTTGGTGTCAAAGTATATTTATTGTGAATAAATGTGTAAAGTTTTTTCTTTGTTGGTAATTGACACGATACTAATGATACATATTTTAGCAAAAGTTTTCAATACCGCTTTTGTGTGAAATAACATTCACTGGGAACGTCTTTAAATGGATTTTCTGGTTTGCTATAAACATAATTTCATTTCTATATGAATGAAGTGAAATTATGTTTCGTTTTTCTCAATGCCTAATTTATCTTGTAATCGTAAACAAAATATCAGATAATCTAAAGTAGTTGATAATATTTATTTATAAATCTTTTGTGAATGACTAGATGCATTTTTTCTTTGTTATCAAACCTCACAATTTTTGTAAATTTACAAAAGTAATGGTGAGGGAGAGAAAATTTATTCAAATAAAATAAGATTAAGGTGGGGATGTTTGCAGTCAATGACTAATAATTCCAAAAATGAAAGTAATCACCTTTATAACAACTTTAATACACAGAACTTGAGGGAAAACAATTTTGACTTTGAGTTAAATCTTACATTCTGTCGCTTGTCAAATCAAAATTCAATTTCTACTTTAGAGAAATAAAATAGATTAGCAAAGTGGAGGAAGGAGGAGGGTGAAGCTAAGTTTAGGTTTTTCTGCAGTCTATTGAGCAAGCAATAGCCCCGCCCACCCACCCTCTGTTTATTCTAGTGAATAATCTTAATATTGTTAATTAGTGACAAGATTATTATCTTATTAGAATCTTACTCAAATCTGTTAAATCGTTGGTGAGAAGATTGATAAATTGTAAACAAAATATCTAAAAAGAATTGAGTTGGTGTTAAGTAAACACCTGAGAACTATATTAAAAGACAATATTACTATGCTCCTCCCACTCGCACAAGCTCCACCTTAATAAATCATTTCATTGGTCAGGAGGAGAGGAGTGGCCTTTACAGTTGTACCCAGTGGTGTCGTTTTTCAAATAAAAATAAAAATTGTGTTAAAAAATATTTAGTTCTATTGTGTATTAATTGTCAAAATAAAATGCATCTTCCGAGTAAGAGCCATAAAATTGGTCATCGAAATGGAGTAAGGGTGGGTGGGCGGGGCTACTTTTTACATTGAGTTAAATCTTATATTCTGCCGCTTGTGAAATCAAAATTTAATTCCTACTTGACAGAAATAAAATAGGTTAGCAAAGTGGAGGAAGTAGGTGGGCGGAGCTAAGTTTAGAGTTTTTCTGCAGTCGAATCAGCAAGCAATAGGTTTTCTCTCTCGGCGAATTTTAGTTTTTCAAATCGGGACACCACAATGAATAAGTCCGAAAATAACAGTTTCTTTGAAGGTCTTACTTATGACCTTTGTATTTCCGTCAGCAATCGATTGTAATGAACAGTGGTAAATATTACAGTATTATATTTCCTAGTAAATGATTGATGACCATAAAGTACATGCTCTAATAGAGTTTTACTCAGATTTAAGCTTTTGGAGAAAACAACTAAATGAATCTGGTTTTTAAATATGTATTATTTCAATATCACTCGATGGTCGATATTTATACGGACAACAATTAACACAGTAAAAACTCTGATAATCTTGTATATTTAGGAGTTCTAGATTATTCATAAACAAATATAATCGCCAGAAAGCTAAATATCTAAATATTTGAAATTAACATAAATTTTCTTTCCATGTTTACAGGAATATGTGGAGTGTATGGAGGACCGTGTTGGAAGAAAACGAAAAACTGGCACAAGCTCGACTAGCGGCCGTAGAAATTTTTCAGCAGCAAATCGCGGACGACGCCAAGATTCTAAAAAACCATAAATTACAAGGAGCAAAAAAAGTAAGTTGTTTTATAAAAAAAAAGTAGTTTTTGAGACAAATGATGTTTGAATTTTTACAGTGTTTAGATCAATTGGCAGTCATTCAAAAAGAATTGCAAGTTTGTGTGCAAGACGTGGATAAAACGAAAAAATTGTACTTTGATGAAGAACACAGTGCTCACGGGGTTAGGGACAAAGCGAGAGACATCGAAGAAAAGTAAGTTTTTTTGAATTTTAAATTGAATTCACTTTTATGTTTTTTCCTAGCGCAAAATTTGTAGACTCTAAAACACCTAAGGGTAAAAATAATACCGTAGCTCTCTAGTATCGGTAGTTTGAAAGTTACAACAGCTGAAAACGACGCAACATCTGTGTCTGACTTTACAGCGATATCCGATCATTCGGAATGCGAGACGCAAAATTCCATAAAAAAATATCGCTGTGATTACCATTTACGAGATGTTCGCTTACAAAGTATATTGTTTTTTGCACATTGGCAAAATATTAAGAAAATGATGTTTAGAACCTGGAAACACCTCTGACATTGTTTGGGACGTGTAAAACTAGATAATAATAATTAATTATTTTTTTAATTATTAACAAAATCTCACTAGAGAACGATATACCATGTGAAAAAAAATTCTATTGGCATCGCATCTATTTGACACACTTTGTTTGACAGTCAACAATATTTTAAAAAGAAAAATAAAAGTAAATACGTCACTCCACTTTATTAAAAAAAACCTCAGTGACGTGCTTGGCTGGTTGTTTATTTATGAACAAAATGCACTCCAATTTATTAGATATTTTGATGGCTGAAATAAAAATTATATTTTCAGCTAAATTAAAAACATGTTTACACAACGTTCATGTTTGTTTTGTTGTCAGATATTTGCTTTTTTTCAGATAAATTAATATCGTGTTTGAAGTTTTCTGAATTCATTGACATTAACGTGATATTTAGCAAACTCTTTTTTAATTAGTGTTTTTAAATTTGACATTTAGATAATTAAAATCAAATAAGAACCATTTAGTGCACACAATTAATAAATTATTTGCAATCATTTTAACAATGCAAGGATCCGCATAAAAGAATCACAATAGGGTTATTTTTGTAATACGTATTTTTTTTGACGTGTATCAATTAAACTAAAGTTTATTATACAGTGTTTATAAAAAAATTCTAGAACTTTACATTTTTAAAATGTCTTTATTTCAGTTTTTCCGATCGAACTTCCTGTATTTTATTACTGCATCTTATACTCTATTTTTTGTTCTCTTTCTTTCTTTCTATAATGTGAAAAAATTCAGACACATCAGTTTTAGATATAGAAATTACTTAACAAAAAAAAATAAAATAAACAACAGGGCAAGATGCAGTAATAAGATACAGGATATTCTATTTGAAAAAAACAAAAATATCGATATTTGAATATTGCAATAGTTTAGATTCTTTTATGAACGCTCTGTATGTTAATACTCAACCATGAAATATTGTAACAGATTTTAAAAATAACTCTTTGCATTGATAAAAAATTTCTAGAAAATGGGAATAATGTGGTAACGATGCATCGGAATATCAAAAGTAGACTATGGTTTTGAAGCCTAGAGAATATGTTACAATATATAGAGTGTTCTAATTAAAAAAAATGTGTATTATGTCTCAAATACAGAACACTTCGTATAGTTGAAAATATCTTACTTATCTTTAAAATTATCAATAATAATTAATGAGGTATCGAGAAACGGACGCTTAGTGATTCACCCTGTATACAAGAGTAAAAAGTGTTTAGAAACTTTAAGCTTAATTTTTTATTGTCGGATAAAAAAATCCACAAAATCTAGCAAATGGAAAACGTTTTTAGTACAATTATAAATTAGGGCTAATCTGCACCATTATCACTAACCCATTAACATCGTTGTTATTTAAAATTTAAAAGTAGGTATTTTATTTAAATTATTTGAAGAATACGTATGAAAAATTTTTATCTCCAATGTTGAACTCAAAATGTGTTGGTAATCTAATAGCAAAATTATTTAGACAGAACCTCCCTCGCCTCTAAAGTACATTTGAACAAACACAACTTCTTCGAAAATAAAAAAAAAATTTTTAGAATTTTATTTATTTTTGTATGATAACCCCCATAAGTACATAATGAAACGTTTTAAATAGTATTTTGTGTAAATCGCTGTTATTATTATAATTCTTATTTTATTATTATTAAATATAGGCGGGCGCAACATTACTGTACTCACAAATTTTTGAGAAAGTGGGGTGAATCGTTGACGTGATCGAACCCACACAGGTAGAAAATCCACAGTCTGGTAGTTTTGAATATTAACTGTCTAATAAATTTTTTCCTACTCTAGGGGTTGTGAAACGTCGAGAAAACGTAAAAATATTCGGTCGCCGAATGGACCCTATTACAGCTACGCTCGGGAAGTAAAAAATAACAAAAGGACTACATTTTACTAGACGAAAAATTATGATGTTTTAATTTCGTCACAGTTAGGTCGCAATTAGATAAAATGTTAACAAAGTTGTGAAGAAAATTATTCAAGAAGTCTAATTTTTTATCTTCTAAAGACTATAAAATGTGAAGTAAGAAGATAGATAAATGTTTAAAGTTCACGAAATTTGTAGGACTATTTCTTTCATCTGTCGAATAGACTTTCAGATTGGTCTTCTCAATTAAAAGTTATACCCCCTGAACTTGTAAAAAATCGCGTTTTCCAAAACGTTCCACTTTCGTTATGTTAAACCAAATCTAATGAAATTTTTATCCGTCGTGAAATTTCCGTAATTCCTGGCATCGAAACGTCATTAGCCTCGACCTTCTCTGGCACGAATTCTTTCTTCTGCGTCGTATTCCGTCTCCGTCCCAAATGGAATCGCCGGCCTTCTCTATGAAAATGAATGGAAAACTCGTCCCACATTCTCTCAAATGATGGATTTTCCCGGAAAAATCACTGCCTCTTTATTCAACGTCGCAACTGATCGATCTCCTACAACCAAAACAGTCTTTTGATGGGAACTCGAGTCGAATAATTGGCTCGGACGGACGCTTTTCTTGCCTTATGCCACTATATTAAAAATAGTTCCTCGTCTTAATTTCGTTCAGGATATGAATTTATGGAGGCGTCCAAGCGGATATACTTTAATTAAACAATCTATAAATGGCTTAAGTCGAGTCAGGATAATAAATTTCTAACTCGGTTTAATTTTGCACGTCACCGCGAGGCTGTTCCAGACTGGATGGATTCCCTAAGGGACGGAATTATCCTGGAGATAAAGGATAAAAACTTTTCGTGGATCTACCGAGCACAGAAATGCTTGAGGACGTTTAAATCAAGATTATTTACAATTGCAAGGAAAGCACGAACGCTGCGCGTAAATAAGGGTGAAATGCTAAATATAAAATTAGTATGCAGCTTTCATTCAGAAGTTGTCCTTTTGCGAAGGAAATATAAAATCTTTATGGGGTGTATTTATTTTAGAAGAACTTAACCCCGGCGCATCTTAGTTGACATAAGAGTTATCGATTTCACAGAAACTTTGTTCGATAGGCTAGAAGCTTTGGAAAATTTTTACTACAAACTTATTATTTATTTACGGAAAGCGTTCATTTATTGTTCAGATACTTCTGATAAAATGTTTTTCGAATCTTAAGTCGTATATACAAGATATTCTAAGAACGAGAAGATGAAAAACGGTAAGAAAGCAAAAAACTGCTTAAAACTTTAAATACAGCTGAGCTTTTTTGTTGGAGGCTTAAATCCCCAAAGTACCTATGATTTCGGTGCGAAAGTGAATAAGTTTGAAATAACGAACTATACTTCCAGATTACTTCACATTTTCTACTACATTACAACAATATATTACCTGACAACCGGCCTTAAATATTCATAAAAAAAATATATTATACCGAACTGGTTTTATTCTGTTAAATCACGTGTATGTAGTTGCATATATATAATTGTTAGTTTATTATTATTAAATGTAGACGGGCGCAATATTACTGTATTCTCAAATTTTCAAAAAAATAATGTTTTGAATGAGTCAGGTCTATTCAACCAGATTATTAGACAGATAAAATTCTCGGAAAATAACGGATCGATTGTCGCCCAATTTTATATGTGAAGAATATCGCGTAAACAGTAAAACGCTAACCCAAAAATTTCAAACAATAAGGTTATACCCATGTAGAATATTTTAAAAGTTTCGTCTCCCACAGATTAGAGTGGTGATGATATGATGCCATAAAACTTTTTTCTTTCGATAAAACCACATCACATTACGATTTAGCCATAAAAGAGTTATTTGAGAAAGATATTGTTTAACTTTCCGAAATCGTAAATCATAATAAGAACGATTTGTCAGATTTTATAGCTGGGCTCATCAAAATCGATTAACGTGGTTAGTTATGGTGCCACGCTAACTTTTAGATCAAATTTTTCATGCTAAATTTTGAATAAAAATATTCACGATACAACCTGATGCTATTAAAGTGGATAATTTCTAACATGTTTTATCTGACTGTTTTCTAAACCAGTGTTTCGTTATCTTTGCGAATAAACATTTTTGTGCATTTTTTATCAATAATAAATAATCAGACAATGGAATAAAGTATGATTTTCGGTGTCACTTGTGAAATATTAATTTTACGACTGTGATTTCGATTTTAAAATGGTGCCCACTGTCATAAAAACGTGAAAAATGATATTTCTTTTCTTTCTATTTCGTTTTTTTTTTTACTTTCTTAGCGTAAGGTCTTAACAGATGGCTAATTTCATGTTATTTTTGCGACTAGTGTTTTCCTCTGTCTGTCTGTTGGTGACGTCAATAAATACGTAATTTCCAAAACTACTGGACTGATTACTATCTTACAAAGTAACGTATTTAACGTTAACCAAAAATTGTTCCTTCATCCCCACCAGCAATTTTTTTATACTTTTTGAAACCCACATTTTTTTTTTTGGAAAACATAAAACCGGCTATCGTGAACATCACTAATCAAGATTTATCGGTGCATTCATCCCAAATTTGATAACGTGATGACAAAATTTTGCTAGATAAATCCTATCTAAAATGTTCAAAATGTGTCCTCCTATTTTATTTTAATATTCATTATAGAAATAAAATCCAGAATCAACTTTTATAATTCATCTAAGAAAGTGGACTTTTTTAGTTGAGTTTGGTTGTGCATCAGGTGTGAG